CAGAAAGAATAAACCAGTTTTATTAAGAAAGGACTTCTATCGGTAAAGTTCCTTCGGAAAGAATTTTTACGGAAAATTAACTAACGAACGGAGACGTAACACTATTGAATATTGTTAGGCAAAACTCCTTACGTCCTACTACGTAATAAAATCAATACTAGATGAAAGCACGCTGTATCATCTCTCATCATTTACCTAGGATGACTGGTTGTAGACAACTTTAGGTGCGGAGGTTGTATTTTCATGTTGTTTATTTACGAGGTCATTGATTAAAGTTCCCTTTGTTTGCACGCCTAATTAGAAAGAGTATCTTGATGAAGTAAACCTACAGCTAAAGGTTTAAATAAATGTTAAGTTAGATGTTTAAATAGTTGGATGTGTCAACATTGTTGAGAAACGAACTGTTCGCTTGTGTTGTGAAAGTGTACGAAATAATATTAATGAATAGTTGCAACAATTAGAAATATTGTTATCATAGAAAACTCCTTATTGATTAAAGCTTTATCCCTCCCTCTTTCTTTTTCGTCTTCAGTTTTCTCAAACAAAGTAGATAAATATGGAAAAATTGGCATCAGTATCGTACAGCTTATACCTTTGCCTCAATATGGATAAATGGTTTATTGTTGAGCCAGTTTCTTTTAACCGTTATATTTCCATTATGCACTATTGGACACATACACACACATATCTTTATTTGCAATGGGTTGCTCCTAGCAACTACGAACATTTTACTTATGTATTGAGAAATTTTATGAACTTGTTTCCTTGAGCAACCCATGAAGGTTTTACTTATGTTGTACGTTGATATATTCTCTGATCGTGTTTCCCTTAGCAACCACAGACACTTGTATATTGATATACTTTCTGATCGTGTTATCCTGAGCAGCCACGCAGACTTTACTCGTTACATATTGATATATTCTCTGATCGTGTTGCCCTGAGCAACCATGGAAATTTTACTTACATTGTAAACTGTAAACTTGTAGCCGTGAGTAACCACGGATATTTAGCTTATGCAAATTACTATTAACTTCCGATAAGAGCA